CCCCCCCCCCCTACCTGTTCTCCTTCGAGCGGGACCCCCCGAACCAGCTCTTCGCCTCGTGGGCGGGGAGCGTGGCGATCGCGCGCCGCAGGACCTCCAGGCTCGCCGGCACGCTCCGCCTCGCGACCACGTTCTCCATGCACCGCGTCATTAAGGGCCACAGCTCTTGAGACACCTCGGGCTCCTTCAGCAGGGACACCAGATAACCAGCCGCCAACGAGACCAACGCCGCGGAAACCGCGCCCTTTTCACCACCACTGCCACCACCGTGCCTCTTGTTGCCCGTGCCCTGCACGTTTATTTTTGTTTAGGAGGGTGAGTTTCGTTCGTTCTCTGTTCGGGCCCTTGTGACTTCATACACCAGCGGTTATCAGCAAGCACCAAAACGGCTATTGCGATTGTACTGCATGTATACGCGCCGTGTGGATGCGATTGGTCAGCAACGCAAGCAAGGCGCTCGACAACTATTCTCGCCGAAGCATTGCCTCTCCTCATACGTACCTCACTTGACCTCTTTTCCCAGCACAACCGCCCCCCCCCCCCGCCTGGACGCCGTCCCACGCCGCCATTCCTTCCCGGCTCCAACTAATACGCAAAAGAGCGCTGCCTACCCGGCAACAAACCATAATCTAGTATCCCGCATTCATCAAGCCGCAACCAGAGAAGCGTTCGGCCGCATCTCTCCAACTCTTCTCACAAACTAGGACGTGCGTATGTACAAATGCAGTTAGCGCTCGACCTTCTAGCTCTGATCGAGGGCGGGGGTCCTATGGCTAGGCTACAAACGGCCCCTATATAGGTTTTAGTGCAGACGTTCTCAGCATCGCACGGTACGTAGATATCACACACCTGGTCCGGCGCGTCCTGCACGAAGAGCCAGAGCAACCCGTACCCGTAGCCCTCCCACTCTCGCTCGCGGCAGTGCAGCACCTGCCCCCGTCGAAGTCCCCCCTTACCGTCACCCGCTGGCGTGGGACCAGTCTGCGGCGGAGTGCAGGGGTGGGGGGCGCGAGAGGGGGGGGGGTGGAGCGTGCTCATGTTTCGCATGCCTTAGTTGTTGGACCATTGGCAGCGGGGGGGTGCTCGCATGGCGTAAGTCGTTTTGCCATAGACCTCGCACCATCCGTAGTTGGTAGGGAGCACGCCGGGTTTCGCCGGACCCCGCAGGCCAGAAGAGATGGGAGGGGGTGTATCGGGGTGCACGTGAAAAGGAGAGCACAGCAGGCAAAAGGGTTTCGTCGAATGTTGAGAAGGACCTATCCTCGCGCCATTTTTGAGCGTCGCCATTTCCGCCGTCGCCTTCTGCACCCGTACTCCTTGTTCCCTTCTCTCTCTCTCATCCTCCCCTAACCCCCTGTGTACCCCCGCATACCGCCTTCCTCGCCGTGTAAACACTCCCTCCCACCTGAGAAGATGCGGCGGCGGAAGCGTGAGGGCCCGCCGGAGAATCGCCCCCTGGCTTGCTGGCGGGCGACGACTTTGTTGTCCTGTGCGCCTCCAAGGCTTTGACCGTGAAAAGGTACACCTTCACACGACGGGGTTACGGTGACGCGTAGGAAGAGCGGCAGGCCAGACAAGAAGACAATTGTCAGTCGCCCACAGAGGTTCACAACAAAGCGAAAAACACGCCGTGTGAGTGAATATCTCAAAGCTTGTAGCGAGATTTCGGTTTCCGCGCCCACTCACCAAGTGCAGCGTCTGCTCCGTGTACTTGGAGAACGGGGTCCGGGCCACGCACGAGAAGAGATGGAGACGTTTGTGCGGCGACAGGAACGGGACCAAGTTGAGGACCACCGGAGACATCACTCGAACGACGGCCTGAGGAACAAAGCAGTTCGGAGAGGAGGGGGGTCGACACACACACACACCCCAAGACGTGGGAAACGAACTTGCACCTGTTGAGGAGCATCCAGAAAAATGGGCGAGGGGTAGGAAGGGCGCCGGGGAACCTGGTAATGTAGACGTTGACTAGCGGGCACAGCATTGTGCCTCAGGTAGTGCCGTACTAACGGCCACCAGACGGACTCGGGGCCTTTTTCAACGTGTAGTGTTGTTTTGCGGTCGTGCCCACCTCGTGCTTGCCGACGGTGCTGCTCCAAAGGAGGTCGAGCTGGCTGGTGCTCACGGCGTTCCGTTTCGCGAGGAAGGCAAGTATGGGCTCCGCCCGCTTGGTCTTAGGCAATGCATGCGATGTTGGCGACGAAGCGAACGGGGGAATAAGGACGTCAATGGGTGGTGGAAGGAAGCACGGAAAGGGCGAGAAGCGTTCGACACACCCACACCGACGCGAAACCGTGAGCGAGCAGTAACATATCTTTATCAGGACCGTGGCGCGAAGCCGTAACGCCTCACGGCCGCAGGACAGAGGCAGCTGGACGGAGAAAAATATAGAGATAAATTACATGAGACAGAGACAGAGAGAGGAAGAGAGGGAGAGAGAGGGAGAGGCAGAGAGAGAGAAAAGAGAGGTAGAAAGAGCAACAAATAAACAAAAAACAGCGAGGCAGCACGCATTCCACCTAGCGCCACTCACTCACTGCCCAGTCAGTTGCTATTAAAATGGAAGACGAGACAAGACAAACTCACAAGCTCCACGTGCATGCTGGAGCCGAACAGCTCCTCCAGGAACCCGACCTCCACAAGCCAGTCCTCCATCACCCTCGGGGTAGCCCAGGCCGCGGTCCGGCTCTCGCCCGCGGGAGGGAGCGACCCGTTCGTCGTTACCGCCCCCGGTCCCCGCTCGGCAAGGGTGACAAGGCCGCATATATGCATCAGTCCGGCCAGGCGTCTCTCCAGGGACGGGCATCGGAACACCTGCTCCCGACAGGGTCCATTCGAACCGGTACACCACGTCTCTCTTCAACAGGTTTCGTGTTTTTCCATTTCTTCGCCCGTACCAAAGTATACAGGCGAGAAGCAATTGCTGCAGCGATAAGGAAGGCCGGCGTGCGACGCGGCCCAAGACGTGGGGCAGTCTCGAAATGTGCTTGCAACTGAGTTTCTGCCGAACGAAAAAAGTGTTGAGACAGGGAGAAGGACTAGCGGGGCATACCGATGCGCAACACACAAAACCATATTCAAAGCCGACCACAGTAAGGAAACACCTGGAGAGCGGGGTGTAGGCATTGGCTCTGCCCCAAGACAGTGAGAGAGACAGCGATTCGCGTTCTTGCATAGCCAGTCTCGCGCACCAGCAGCAGCAGCAGCAGCCACAGCGGCATGCCACTCGCGACGGTTGGAGAAAAAACACCACACCGCATCCACCTCGTTGGCCCCCACCTCCCCACCCCCTACCCCCATCCCCACCTTCATGGCCATCGCCAGCTCCAGCTGCTCCAGTTCCTGCAGCAGGACCAGGGGCGCATGCGCCGTGGCACTGCCACCGCCGCTGAGGGTTAGCGCCAGGTCCCTCACGCTGGACACGCTCTCAGCGATTTCGATCTTGGTGGCCGCCCGCATCGACTCCGGGGGGACCGACAGCAGCGCCGCCGCGGCGCACTCCTTGAGGGTCCAGTTGGTCTCCTTCACCGCCCTGGAGGAGGCGTGCGCCCTCAGCGCCTTGCCGATTCGGAACGTCTCCAGCACCTCGCCGAAGGACGGCCGGCCGCCGCTCAGCCGCTGCGCCAGCGTCGCCATGCCACCGGCCTCCCCGAACCTGTTTACCGCGGCGAGCACGTACATCGACGCGTCCGGGGCGTAGTCGGCGGGGGGCCGAGGCGCTAGCGGAGAGGGCCGTCTCCGGCCCCACGCGGCGTCTTGTTGCTGCTGCTGTAGCTGTCCGGGGGGTGCCGCCGCCGCCGCCGCCGCCGCCGACTCCGCATTGCTAGGGGTATCAGCGCCGCCTGTCGCCGGGGAGGAGTCTCGTCGGGGCGGGGGCGTCCACCCCGGCGGCCGGTAGCAGACGCGAAAGCCGCGCTTGGACATGTCTGAATCGCGAATCTCGCCGTCCTCGTAGAACAGGGTGTGCGTGCCAACGTTAGGGTCGTACCGCTCGATCTGCGTACAGGGGGGCGGGGAGCGGGGGCCGAGACCGTAACTTAGGCGTACAAACGAACACTCTCCTACCGACAAAAGCGGTGCCAAAATTGTTACGAATCACAAATGGAGATACAGATGGACTTTGAGATCCCGTGCCTATAGGCAAAGTTTGCCACCCTCGACGGGGCAGAAGACACAACAGTTGTAGTGCGGAAAGACGGTCCACCACGCTTGCGAGACGGCGTTCGGTAGCCAAACGCCAACTGCCAAGCATACCTCATCGGCTTCCAAGCACTTCCTATGCCTGCCCATGTACACGGTTACATCAAATTTGGTTGCCAACACGGTACCTCATAGCAGGATACATATCTTTAGGAAAACATCTGTGCGTACGGTGAACTGAGCGCCCCCCCTTCCATCGCCCACAAAACCGCGCACTCTTTCTAACTCACCGTTGCTCGAAAGTACGAGTTGTACCGGGGCCACCAAACATCTACTCGCGTGCCAACGTCATTGTCGTCGTAGGAAAGCCCGTCGCCGTCGTCCCACTCCCCGAAGCCCGGGGGTGCCCTCGACTGCTGCTGCTGCTGCTGCTGCTCTTGAGCACCGCGGGAGCCCTGCCGCACGCCACTACTGTCGGCACCGCAGAATTGCACCCACTTGATGTCGAGCCGGGAGAGGTCCAGGGTCGCCGTCCTACCGCTTTCAAACTCCACCAGAAACAAGGATGACGGGCTGCGCGGCTGCTGGCTTGTCTCCGCCCCCGCCGCCCCCGCCGAGTCGCCCCCGCTGCCGCTGCTGCCCGGCCGCGTCGCCTCCTCCCGGTACTTGCCCTCTCGCCGCTCCTCATCGCCGACGACGTCGGCGCCGGTGCTGCTACTGCTATCGCCACCGTCGCCGACGCCGGAAGGACGGCCAACGACGGTCACTCGATGCCACATGTTCGCGTCGGCAGTCAAGGCGGTCCACTCGACAGCAGGGTCGTCGAGGGGCGGGGCGGAGAACTGGTACTGCGCGAGCTCCCCAGGGACGTCGAGAACGTCGATGCACCAGCCGATGGCGTCGGGACCGACCCTGCCCGCCGGAGGGGGTGAGGGATGGAGGAAGTATCGTTTCAACAGCGGAGGAAGCCACCGGGCCAAACGAAGAAACTGCAACAGCTCGAACATAGAGTCAGCAGGTTGCACACGAGGGACCGCCTACGCAGGATTTCAAGAGCATCTACAAAAAAAACAGGGAGGGGGCACGCGGACCCTATCCCTATCCCTAACCCTAACACCAAAAAGCACGATTTGAATACTTCATCCTATATGTTTGGTTGATCAATTTTTCTGGGTAGACTACTACATGTACACAAAAGACACGACTCGACCCCACTCAATCAACCCAATCCTGCAACCCACCCCGGAGGAGTAGCCTAGGACCACGGTACATCACAACGACCCCCAACAAGGTTACCATCGAGGTGTGCGTGTTTCACGAATCAGAAGGCATCACGCGCCCACCACAGGACGATCCATTTGGGGACTACAGGGTCAGAATTGACGCCAACATGGTGTCACGGAGCCCCTGCGGATGAATTACTCCTTGAACGGGATACTGCTGTATGCTCCATCCACCGTTCAACCCACAAGATCCGATCAATGAAATCAGTTGTTCTAGCAGCCAACGGCGAAAGTGTCAAGCGCGGCCAATGTTGGGTTGGTTCGAAGCTGGTAGTTGCAACTCCAAAAGTCATGGCCGTACAGGAAGACGGCAGTTCTGATCAAAACTTGCCACCATTGTTGTGTATTACTGCTGTAGGTTGACAGCGTGCTACCGCGAAAACGCAGCAGATAGATTGCCGACGCGCGGCAGGTTAACACGGAAACACCACCAGCCAGCAGTCTACCAACCAGCAACGTGTGCACATATGTGTGATACTATGCACAAAGCCCTGAGCGCCTGTTGCCCAACGCGCTTGGCACTCACCGCCTGTCGTGAGCGGATGATCAATTGTCATAGACGTAGCATGCGCTTAAAGAACAAAGTTGCTCTCTCACCATGTGCCCCGCTCATCATCCGGCCAAAACCTTCGAGTACGACCGTGGCACTGCCGTAGCAAGGGTTTGCCATGGTCGCGGTTGAAGTGGTGCCGTCCTTCCGCCGTATTCCTCGCCGATGGGGCAGTGGAGAAGAGCATGCGGAGGGTTTGCAGCAGCGGGCGGAGGTCTCGAGCCCTGTCGCCTTCTCCGAGCAGTGGCGAGCGCAGACACGTGTCCACGAAGTCTTGCACGACCGTAAACGTCTTTGCGCAGCGGGCGGCCACCTGAGCCGTCATGGGCTGCCTCTGGAGCCGCTCCACCGTCCGAGGCAGTCTTTCGGAGATCATAATATCGCGCTTCTCCAGCTGGAGGTCGCATGCAGCAGGCCCTTGCAGCAAACTCTGCCGGGCCTCCGCAATCATTGATTCGATTTCCTCCATCTCTCCCACCAACCCTCGTGACTGCGTGGGGTACATTGGACTAGCTGTCCAGGGAAATGGGACAGCATGGACCCTTCGACGAGAGCGCTCCTTACTCGCGAGAGAGCGTAGCCTGTGTGTACAACAGTGCAGTTGATGGGCGATTTCGCAGATTGTTTGTTTTCATGGGGCAGCACAGATTAGCCTCGCGCAGGGGGGGGCTGCTTCCGTCGGAGATCTCAGCTGGTCATGGGAGATCAGCCATCTCTGAGATGCGCCGGTGCGCCAATGCAGCTTCTCCCCGCCAGCTTGCACAAGTCTGCCCCACGCCGACCCGCGTGTCCCTCTCTGCCGTGAACATCATGAACGTTCGTCTGCCTACATGGAGACGGAGCTTAGGTGGGCCCTGGCCTAGACGAGAGCTTGCAACGTCTACAGCAGACAAGACCGGAAATGGTGCTGGTGCCTCAGCGGCGGGCGCAAAGCGGGCCCGAGCCCAGTTGGTGAATGGGAGGGCGATGGCGACGGAAATACTGGATGAGGTACATTGCATCCATAGGTACTAGCAGACGGAGGGTCTCACGAAACAGCATGGCAGTCGGTAATGTGTAAATGGTGTGGATGTTTTCTCTGCATTTGCAACGGCCTGATTCCGTGACCTTAAAACAAAGATGGTTGCTTACAAGGCTGTTTGGCGGCTTACACCGCCACGGTGAGAGAAGCATTCCGCAAGACGCTTGTGACCGGCGTTCGTTGTTATTGGATGGTCGTCTCTTGTTGGTGTACTTGTCATTGCGCTCACTGACGTGCGGTAAGTAGTGTGTTGTGTGGGAAGGGATGCGTCCCGCGCGGAATCCAGAAATAAATTGGACACGCGCACTGGCGGCGAGCACACAGGCGGCGAGCGTACATGATGCAGAAAGCACCAAGAAACCAAGTAGTACACGAACGGCCGTAGGTTCGGAGATGAGGGGGTCACTGACCGATGACAGATTAGTATGTGAGAGGGGACAGAGAGACTGGCACGAAATAGATGACGTGTGTGAAAGGACGAAAGGTTCCGTGCGACCGAGCCGGATGTGATGAACGAGCCAGACGCAAAATGAGAAGGCATGAGAGAGGAACCGAAAACAACAGCGAGCTCCAAAGATCTGCAACAGATGGAAATGAGAACATGGAGCCCTGTGAGAGCGCCAGAAGACCCGAAACGGAGCCATCTCAGCGCAGATCTCTCAGCGTAGATCCAGACAGATAGAGAGCCGCCAATAAACGTGTGCAGGGGAGGACGAAGCGACAGACGTCGCGTGATCGGAAAGCCGGAACGACCTGGCCATCCAGTCAAAAGAGATCGGAATATGTTGCCTGTGTTTGCTCGGAAGATTCTCTGCTTGGAGATATTCGATGGACCCAAATTGCAAAAAAATGCACAAAACAGAGTTTACAGGCAGCCACGCATGTAGTCTATTGGAACACGCATGTATTGAGAAGCACTGCTCTTTATTGTTCTGTTGGAAAGAACAGCGCGTCGTCGTGTATACTTCCCAACGGAACACGAAGAAGCTACATGTGAGCGTAGGGCGGCTGTAGAGGGAGTGGCTGCGCGGGGCACGAAAGGAGAGGGGAGTACCGAAAAGCTGTGCAAACAGGAACGAATCGCAAAGATTCCACGGAAAGAAGAATCGAAGAGATAATAGAGAGCCATAGACAGAGAGAGAAGGGGAGAGACAGAAAGCGGGAGAAAGAGAGAGAGAGAACGAAAGAGAGCGAGAGAGACCGAGCCCAGAGAGAGACAAAACGAGAACTACTACTGTGCACTGCTCTAGAAAGCACAGCGTGTTATTATACAGCTGAGAGAGCGTGATCATCAGAAAGAAATCAGGAACGCAAAACAAAGGGTCGTCTGTCAGTGCCCGAACATCCGCAATGAATGCTGTCCGGAGGGCGGCCCGCTGGAAATGTGGCGCTTGAAGAATGGAGAGCTCCTGGCCGAAACAGAAAATGTATCCGTTTTATCACAGAGGGTGCTAGTAGGCAGTTGAAGGTACTGTCCGGTGTGTGGAATTACAATCCAGCCTGTGAGCATGAAATTAAAAGTGAGCTGGGAGATATGAGAGATGGAAAGAAGAGAGAGAGATAGAGAGAGGAGAGAGAGAGAGAGAGAGAGAGAGAGAGAGAGAGAGAGAGAGAGAGAGAGAGAGAGNAGAGAGAGAGAGAGAGAGAGAGAGAGAGAGAGAGAGAGAGAACCAAACGCCGAGAAGGTGTGTTTGGAACGACATTGAATAGAATTGAGAAAAGGGTCAAAACGATGATTGTGAGAAGACCTGAACAATCTAAAAATACTGCTCTGTGAGAGCCCGAAAAAACGAAATACTGAGCTCTCAGCCGTCCACGCGGAAAATGAATGAAACGTTCTCACGGAATTATTAACTGATACATCTGTTACAGCAGACTTGCATATATAGCGTGTCTTGGGTGTTGTCTGGGTGTAGTGTAGGCGAGCTGTAGCATGTGTGAGTGGGTCGTTTCGTTTGCGCGATATTGTATTGTATGTGCAAGTGTGCTTTGATTTGGTACCATCTGGTTTCTTCTTTGTGTGTCTGTGTGCCCGCGTGCTACATGTAGGTGTGCACAGCAGTATCTGCCTGCAGGTATGCAACGTCGATACGGACCGACACTCAATATCTTGTTTCCCAACATTGAGCTGTGCGATGCATATGCATATATCTCCATCCCCATCATCGAGAGGATCGACAGCTGTCAGTACCTCCACACACAGTTTACTCCAGCAGCAACGGCGGCGCGTCTAGGCATCCGGAGGCCTTTTGTGAACGTACCACCAAACATATCGCTCGACGAGACAGCGAAAAAGACTTCACCCCGATGCTTTGCCTCTATATGCTCCCAACTTCGGCCGCGCCACAGCAGTAGACTTGCATGACCATACGCAGAGCCACGTTTTTCTGAGTAGGTATTGTGGACAGTCCTACGGTGGGAGCTACTGCTGTAGCGTGGATGATCAAGAATCCTTCGCCAATGTCAAAGGACTGAAGTTACTGAATTGCACTTCGCTCAGCGTCCGTCTATCGAGGATACCTATGTTTCGATGGGAAGTAGCTCACGTGGTATTTGACACCCCTCCCGTCCTTCATTCTCTGTGGTGAATCCGACGTCGTCAGGCCATGGCATTCGTTGAGGATACCCATGTTTCGATACGCAGCAAGACGTGTGACAACCTTCGCGTCCTCCCCCTCTTGCCTCGTCGAATGCGTCGGGGTTCTGGTGTGCGAAGGTGCGACGAGAGGTGGATCTGATGAGATCGAAGCACAACACCGTGCCCGGGTTAGCGGTGATAATGGTGGGGGAGAGGCGCGACAGTGCTAAGTACGTGTCAATGAAGCAGGTGAGAGCGGAGCACAAGCCTGTTCGTTGCGTCCTACAGGCTACAGGTACCGCGTTGTGGCGGTTAGTCTCCCACCGTCGTTTCCGCTTGTCACCATAAGCGCGCACGCTAGCATATCATCTGGCGTCTCTCGTCCTTACCCAGAGGTTTTTATGTTTTTATCGGTTCACTCATTAACACCCAATCTGCAGATACTTGCTCCGGAGTATTCAATTACCTTTCATAGAGATTTTTCGTCGGTTTACTCATGAACACTGGTGTTGTCCACACCTTTGCTTGTCTACCCCCTTCGCTCATCGCACCGTCCCCTATGGACCTACCTCAGGCGGTGGCGGAGAGCATTGGGTTTATGTCCTTCAGCAGCGTGCTGCCCGCCACGGCCACACACCGCGATGTCCTGGAGTGCATACAACATCATAACAAAGACCCAAGGTGGGCCCGTTACTGGTATTTGCAAGGGAGATCCGCATTTTGTCTCATGCGGCACTGCCGTCGTGTCCCTGTTGCATGTTAGCACAAAGCAGTGATGGCCTGCCCGGCAAGTAGTACTGTACCCCGCTTACCCCCGTTCGCAAGCCTCGTTGAATGAACGTGTTTTTGTATCTATTCACGCTTGTTTGTCGTATTTTGAACGGCTTCGCGCTCCTGTACATTGTCCGTTAGACATTTGTCCTACCTCGCTTGACAAAATTCACCGCCGTTGGCTGGCCGCTGTTTGCCGCAAATACCCTGACCTGCACCGCCCCGACGCCTGCTTGACCCCTTTCCGACCACCCCTCCGCTGCGCACGGCGGCGCCGGCCACCACGCGCTGCGGTGGCTAGGTGCCACGGGATCCTTCTGCAGCTGCCCGTCCCCGCGCATCTCGATCCCCGAGGGCTGCTCGGGGCTATAAAGGTCGAGAAGGACGTTGAGTGCTTCAACCCGACGAACGCCGGGCGAATGACGGCTTGGCGACGGACGGTCATCGCGCCCTGCACTCCTCTGGGGGTGATGGAGATGCTCCTCCGGCTCGGGGTGGAGGTGAGGGGGAAGCACGCGGTGGTGCTCGGCGAGAGCAGCGTTGTCGGCCTGCCCATGTGCCTGCTGCTCAACGAGGCTCGGGCGACGGTCTCGATGGTCCACAAGGAGACGCCAAACCCGGAGGGCTTCACGCGGCGGGCGGACATCGTGGTGGCAGCCACGGGGGTGCCGGAGCTCGTCCGAGCCGGCTGGGTCAAGCGCGGGGCCGTCGTTATCGACGTCGGCATCAACTTCGTCCGCGACGACGAGAGACCGGAGGGGTTCCGCGTCGTGGGCGACGTGCACCCGGACGTGCGCGAGGTGGCGTCCATCGTGTCTCCCGTGCCGGGCGGCGTGGGGCCGATGACGATCGCCATGCTCATGCGCAACTGCGCCAACATGGCCTTCCTGCAAAGCCGGTGGGGCACGATCGCGGGAGCCCTGCACCCGGACCTCGCGGCCGAGAACGCGCGGAGGATGCACGCGGCGATCGTCGATCTGGCGTGGCGCGGGTCGGGGGATCATCCAATCAGCGGCAGCGAGGACGGCGGGGGAGAAGCAGAGCAGGAGTGCCCGCAGAAGCGAGGGGCGAGGGACGTGAAGGCCCGGGAGGAGGCGCTAGAGCGAGCCGGGGACAGCATCACGGACGCGGAGCTGCTGACAATCATCAACGACTCCGAGAAGAACGCGTTCGGTCTGCTGAGCTTCCTCGAGCTCGGGTCTTCGCACGACCGGCTCCTGGGCGCCGATGCCTCCAGTGCAAGGACGGAGGGAGGGACGAGGGTGGGAGAAGGTGATAAAGGCGTAGCTAGGCGAATACCGCGGCCGTTAGGTGGTGCTGGACAAGCGCCGGGCCAGGCGAGTGGGGGGGAACTAATGGGCTGCGTCGGTGGCGCGGAGTTGGGCAGCGGGGAAGAAGGGCCCATGGAAGCGTTGGACGAGTGGCACTTGGAGGCGGAGAGGGCCGCGAAGGAGAAGGGAGAGACGGTCGTGCCTCGGCAGGGGAACCCTCTCCTGTTGGAGGACGATCTGGAAGAGACGGCCGAAAGAACGGGGTGGTGGGAGAGTTGCGCTTCCACCCCCGTCTCTAAGTCTACCGCGGCTGTTGCTGTTGAAACGGCTGCTTCTTCCGAAAGTGCGCGAGGAAAGGGGCGAGGGGGGAGAGATCACCAGGGGTGAGCTGCATGATGGAGGCTTGGCGTAACTTGTTCGGGAGCGCTAGGTCGCCGCAGATCCTGATGTAGTTGGGGGGTTTAATGACAGCTGAGGGTAGCTGAAGCTAGATTGTGTACCGAATAATGATACTGCCACCGTTGGTTATTCGCTTCGAGCTCTTACAATCCGAGCGTTTTCGATGCGTTATTAATTTATTTTGTCGGAGTGTTGGTCGTGTCGTGTGTTTTCGCACCGATTCGGTTCCCGCATGGAAACGTGTGGTCCTGCCTGTGGATGTCCCAGGATTATCTGTGTATTTCGATCACCTGTGAGACACAGCGGTACTCAGAGCCGTTGCCAGTTGTGATGAACTGGATGCACGCGCTCATTTGTTGCGAGATGTGCACGTACCACGGCAAGATCTGGTCTACAGTACTACCGTAGTAGTCGGAGAGATGACACCCGTCGGAGGTATGGCACCTGTCGGGGAGATGGCAACAGGGTGCGCAAAAATATCAAGAACGCTATGATGTAATTCGATTTACGCACCGGGGTCCGTGAGATCACACCGAGTGCGGTCTTTCCGACCCCCAAATCCAAGATTATGATCCTTTTCAGCTGCCGGGATGAGGTACATGTGCGTGTCTTTTACACGTGGGGACGGTGTCAGCCGTCAGCGGAGCGCCACTCCTGTGTGCACGTATGCATGAGCGATCGCGGTTCACGCGGGATGCCAGCTGTTTTCATTTGTTTTTTGGTGTGGAAGCTGGCGACCGTACACTCAACCAAACACACAACGTACAAGCCGCACCCTGCCCACCTTACACAACACGAAACTAATGTACTGCTGCGTACGGTACTTGGTATCCGCAGAGGAAGACCGAAACGAAAGCGGGAGATAACTGATACCGTATGCACATGTGGGAACGACATCATTTGTTGTCGTCACGGCATAGCCGAACTCACATCAAGCACCAGACCACCCGGTGCGCATGGAAAGCTGTTACGTACTTGCCTATGTTGCCGTTGCCGGTGTGCTTCCAACCAGCAACAACGGTACCTACAAGTGGTTCTAGCTGATATCAATACTGGTGCAGGTAGATGGCACCGGGGTACGTGCATAGTCTACAACACCGGGGATCGCATCGATGGGAGAGATCGCACCGGGGTGCCTTGACAAAACTAAATGAAATGATTTAATGGCGTTTCCGCACTGGGGTGGTCGGAGAGGTGGCACCGGACCACCTCTCCGACTACAGAACGGGCCCGCAGGTAAGAAACGTCAAAATCGGGTCAAGCCTCAATTTCTTATTTTCGCCCGAAGGACCAGCCGAAGTCGGCCAGTTTCTTAACACGGATTTCTTAATTCCTTTGGGCTATCGCATCATCCTGCTGCTCCTATTTTCTTATTTCTGGCGAAGAAACCAACAACACACCAAGCCTCATGTAACATTTTCAATCGACAGCTCGGTGGTGGCGAACATTGATTGGGGTTGTCGCCTCCTCCTGAACTAACTGACTCCCGTGATTTGTGGTAGTGCAGCAATTCAGCAGCAGTGGGTAGCGCCGCCCGCGGCGGCGCGGGGGCCCGAGGGGCTACGGGAAAATAACCGCTCATCCCCCCCGGTGTTTGCCATCGGGGTTGGGTTTTCGTCGCTTGGCAACGAAGTTGTAAAACAAGCCGCCCCCCCCGGTGTTTGCCATCGGGATTGGGTTTTCGTCGCTTGGCAACGAAGTTGTAAAACAAGCCGCCCCCCCCGGTGTTTGCCATCGGGATTGGGTTTTCGTCGCTTGGCAACGAAGTTGTAAAACAAGCCGCCCCCCCCGGTGTTTGCCATCGGGATTGGGTTTTCGTCGCTTGGCAACGACGTTGTAAAACAAGCCAATTCACTTCGTGAACTCGGCAACCAGGTTACCTTTTTTTTTTAAGGTCCGTTTTTTTTTGGCGGTTACCATTATGGTGGTCGAGTAGATCATGTTGTGCGGGGTGGAGAACCCTCACTCCGCGCAAGGGGGATGATCGCACCACGTTGTGTTAAAATGGTCAAGCACCCTCGAGGCAGTTACACAGTGCTTACAACTGTCTCAGGAAGTGAAAGCACCAGGAAATAAATGAAGTCATACGTAGCTGTCATCCGTACGCAAGGAAGCAAGCACAAGATACCGAACACCCTTAGCAGGATGCAGCGCACCCTTCATGCGACTCGCCGAATATCTCACGGCGCTTCGCGCTTGGTGATGTGAGAGCCTGGTCCGGTGAGAACCCGGCATGCTCCGTCTCGACTTCGTAGGGACGCGAGGTCAATGGTCTAACGACTACGGCATGCACGACTATGAGTCCCCCCCCCCCCCTCCCTACAAGAAAATATCATGATGCGCTAGGATAGATAGGTAGGGGTGGGAGCTGGCAGCAGAAGTGGGAGGTTTCTTATTGAACACGCTTCCTCAGCTATTCGTTGTTTCTTGTGTCTCGGGGTATCGCAAGATCATGTTTCTGATTGGGACGTTTCTTACGTCGTGGCCGAGATTGAGCTGAGTTTCTTAGCCCTTCTTATTTTTCGTCAATTGACAGTTTCGGACCCCCCAAAAAGCTTAAATACGGAAATATATTTTGAGTTATTAAGCCATCGTTCTCAGGATCGTTCCTGACAGTCTCGCCAGAACCCGGAATAAGGAAAAAATAAATAGATTTTAGAGTCGAGCGCGGCTCGTTTTGTGGAAAATTTTGCCAAGGAAACTATTTAAGCAACTTTCTTCGAAACAACACACCCACACCAGCCACCGCCACCACACCAGACCCACATGCACACACAGCAGCCTGCTACGAACATGTCCAGCACCCGCCCAAAGAGAAAGACAATGCCCAGCGCAAAGGCCCTGGATCTGGTGCGCGACGAGGTTGCCAAGAGAGCACGGGCAGCCGGTCGGGTGGGCTTTGCGGCTCTAGGCCAGCAGCACGCCCGAGACCTCGAGGCAGGGGGAGGAGAGGAGCAAGCGGCCGGGGGAGGCGGCGACGATGTCCAAGTCGTGGCAGCACCAGCAGCAAAGCAGGCTAGGGTTAGGAAGAGCACGAAGTGGCCTCCTACTTACGACTTGGCGCTGGCAAGGGCGGGTGAGTCTTTTCCCGCGCAAGGGTATGCTCTGTTTTTCCAGAGAGAGGAGTTTGTTGGCTTGGATTTGTTCCCTCCCCAACCCCCACCCCCATACGCTCCGAACGCGACACAGCACTGCAGGAGCAGCCGGCCACGGCAGTGGTATACGTACTTGCTGTCTCCGTACTGGTGCAAGTTCCTGTGCTGGATTTAGTTGTTTCCTTTGCTGGGGTTGAGGGAGCGACCCATGTGCGCGCGCACACATGCACGTGTTCTCCAAGTCAGTGCAAGCATCGACAGGATACACAGATAGTTGAGCAATGTCTACCCCGGCTTGCCCAGCTACCGACAGGGTTGGCTCTGATTGACTCGCTGAAGAAGCTAGAGGAAATAATCACCAAAGACAAGCTTGAAAAAGCTGTTGGGCAGTCATGGGCTAAACTTGCCACAAGTGATGAGTTAACCCCCGCCCTCAAAGGAGTTTACTTGTTGGAAGCAGGGAAGGCGGGAAAACCCCGTGAAGATGGAAACCCTGACGTAGAACATCAACCACCGTCTACCTTCAGCCGAAATGAATTTGGTCAACACTACCAAGTCTTTGGAGCCCAAGCTCTCCTTTCGAAACCTCTTCATGCAGCAGTGCGCCACATGGTGGAGACAGACTTGCAGAAAGTAGTAGGCGAGGAAACGCCAAAGAAGAGGGCGTTGATCCGCTTGGAGGAAGCGAAAGGCAAGGGAGTTTTGTCGTGGTTGACAACGCAAGGGTTGTCAGCAGATGAAAGAATGCTGCCTGATCTATATCGAGAGTCAATNCACGTCGCCTTTAGATGGAACCAGCAGGACAAAGGTGCGCACAAAATTGTAAGAGCAAGGTGTGCTCGACTATGTAGTATTTTTTCGCTACACCACGGCACACAGCCGGACTATTATGGTGGGCGCGGATCCGCTGCTGCGTCCCACAGGAGATGCAGTCTACCCGTGGCACATCATGTTGCATCGTGTTAAAAGGGGTTGTTCGTGAGCCCTAGCCCTGTTAAGGGCCGGCGGACTTGGGGCTGCTGTTTAACTGTGTGTATTAGCTCGCATGAGAGAGGAGAGAGGGGGAAGGAAGAGAGGCCCCAATTCTCGAGAGAACACGAGGACTCCGCACTATTATCCAAAGCCTCTCAGCACATACCCTTCAAGTTGTCCCAGCTGCGTCCTACGTAACGGCTACTTTTCGACTATCTACTTCGACGCACGAACACTCTCCCTGGTTCTTTACGCCAGTGAAGAACCTCTAGTGCGTCGAAAATACGTCCGAAAAACCGAAACACAACGATAAACCAAAAGTAAAGGGGAAACCCGGCCACCGGATCAAAACCCCTCAGAAATTCAACGCCTCACGCCGATCATATCACGAAATATTCCAACGGCTCAAACAAAATCCAATAGCCGTCCATATCACCAATGATTCCAATGGCCGTACTGCAAGAAGACAAAGATAAAACCACTCCAGACGCTCGGATTACAAATTCTAGGCAACGCTCTTCTACCTCGAGCAACGCCTCTGACAAATCCTTCCGACATGATGGAACGAACTCCTTGCTGTGCAGCACCAACTGACTCTTCAGGTGCCACACACATACAGGCAACGCCCTCCCTGTCTATCTGCATTCCACACGAAAACTGCATCGAACAGGTACGTTCTCCCTGCCTTCGGTTCAAACATCTGCAATTCTACACAACTCAAAATCATGACCTGTTTCCAACTGAAAAACCGATCAAACTTGATTCTCCAAAGGATGCCCGCTTTTGAGAAATATACCAACCTGCCGGATGTAGCCTGCTTCAAACAAGGTCCACCATCTGCAAACTACCAAATCAATCCTCAGTTCTCCTTCAATCAAGGATACATCAACTTGCTACTGAACCTTCAAGCACAACACAAAACACAAACGCCCCCCCACAACTTGGTAACGCATTACTACGAACCCCAAGCATCTACGCTGTCTGCATTATAGACAAGCACACCAGGAACGTAAGCCTAGTGCCCTCCCTTGCGCAACACCGGCGCCCAGAGGAACACGCACATGGCCATCACCTAGATGTCGCTTCCCAAAACAGACACAACCAACACGCTTCCGTACGTGAAACAAAATCGACTTCCACTAACAACTGCATACCTGCCCGACACACCAACCTGTCAAGTTGCATAATTCCAAGACCGGGCGTACTCTTCAAGCGTAACATTCTCAAACGAAACACGCCCGTTTCCACCCTCCCTTGTTCTGCAACAACTCAGGTAAACAAAACACTTGTTGCGCCTCCTACTTAGGCCGTGGGTCACATATAACCGCGTAGCTCCCACACATGAGTGATGGTGCCAAAGTCTACCAACTTGAACGTCTCTACCCCCCGACACTTTGCCATCATCACCAGCAACACAACGTTACCGGCGAAGGATGCACTAATGGCATAACGACGAACACGAACATTCAGAACAACCACGATTTGGGTGCAAGACAACGCGCAAATGACGGCGGAAAGAAACACGCAACAGTGAACAGAATTTCCTCGAAAACAAGTTGCTTGATTTCATCACGACCTCAAAGTGGTACCTCCACACAAAACAAGACAACGAAATCCAAGCTTATTCCAACTACTCCAAACAGCTCTCGGTGGCTGCTCGGCGGAACCCCCAATTCCGCCGCACCCGCGGCGCCCTCTTGCAGCGCCGCCGACCCCTCCTGGCCTTGCCTTCCGACTCGGCCTGCAGTAGCAATGACAGCATGCCCATCATCTCCTGCACCTCTGTCATCTCTCCTCGTTCAGTTACTGCTCCGTTCCAGTCAGAAAGCGTCCAGTTCAGAGTTGCGTACCCTGGCTACTGGAACCCCGCTGCCTCTCGCTTGTCATAGCCCGCACCGTCTTGCGGATCCTCCCGGGAGGACGAACGCTAGCGTGTTCGTGAGCCCTAGCCCTGTTAAGGGCCGGCGGACTTGGGGCTGCTGTTTAACTGTGTGTATTAGCTCGCATGAGAGAGGAGAGAGGGAGAAGGAGGAGAGGCCCCAATTCTCGAGAGAACACGGGGACTCNCGTGAGCCCTAGCCGTGTTAAGGACCGGCGGACTTGGGGCTGCTGTTTAACTGTGTGTATTAGTTCGCATGAGAGAGGAAAGAGGGAGAAGGAGGAGAGGCCCCAATTCTCGAGAGAACACGGGGACTCCGCACTATCATCCAAAGCCTCTCAACACATACCCTTCAAGTTGTCCCAGCTGCGTCCTGCGTAACGGCTACTTTTCGACAATCTACTTCTACGCACGAACAGGGGTTACCCGCAGCGTTACTTATCCTGAATCCCGCTGTAGCCACAGTAGATGCAGTCTACCCGAAAGAATGTCGAAACAACTACTGCGAAGTACCGCGGACCCGGTGCAGTTGACACTCTGCGCAATAGCCATTCCGTGCGCTGCAAGACGGCCGGTGTTCACGGACTCGTTTAGTGGCGAGACCTATGCTCCCTTCTCTACTCAAAACGCACATGTATCTGGTGTAAAAAATGGAGCCGAAGCAAGTCCCCACTACGACATTCAAAGGCGCTCCAACCCTTGTCCTCTACAGGTTCTGCAGAACGAAGTGTGGACAGTGAATGGGAGCGGGCGTTCGGTCGGCGAAAGGTGGGACACCTGCTGGAAGACTCTCAACCAGGAGCCCTTGGTCAGGAAGTTCAAGGATAAGACGTCCGAAAATTGCAAGTCGCGCTACGACAAGATCGTTGACGACCAGAGCAAGAGCGATGGTATAGCCCTGCGGGACTCCGGAGCCGGAACTGCTGAGAATGGCTCGGAGGACGAAGTAGAGAAGAATACCGAGGTCCAGCTGGTGAGGGGTCTAGAGCCAGTAAGCTATCTGTACCTTTTGTGACGGGCACAAGCCTGAGTGTACACCATCATGGCACAGTCTAAAAAAGACGGGCACGAATATCTGCACATGGAGAATCCACAATCCATAGAGTATCGTGAAACACCTGCGCTGTCTCGACCGGAGAAAATCCTGCCGTCGTCACCAACGTTACTCTTGCAGATAAGAGGGGTACGCACAGGGTTAGCCTTAAGTCCAACTTAAAATGCGCAGCATGACAAAAGAAAGACAGAAGTAGATAGACAGCACGAAAGCTCGAGTGCTACACGCCAGGCGACGCAAAACGTGCAGAGAGTTAGCTTGCTGAGACGGTCCTTCACCCACAAAATCAAAACAGCGTCGAGGTTTTCACTCCCACCCTGTATTGTTTAGGGGCGTGACGTAGCAGTGTTGACACGGACGTACAAAACAGACGATGCATATAGCTATCGCCGACTCTAGTGATGCAATTTGTAAGTCGTAGAGCTGACGAGCTGCCGCGCCGCTGTTGCTTCTTGTCCGCGATGTGCCGCATGGGACAAAGTTCTGACCGCCATAGTGGACGCGAAGGCTGCCGCGAGGCAGGAGTCGGAGGAGACCAAGCAGAAGAAAGCCAACGAGGCGGCCTCGCACTCCGCGATGGGGATGTGGGCCATCAACCAGGGCAACGCCCGATGCGGGTCGGGCGCGAAGGCTACATCATTCGAAGAAGCTGTTGCCGCCGACAACATCGCGTTGGGTTCCCGCTCCGGTGCAGCGGCCGGTGGCCGTGCCAGGGGTCGGGTGAGTCCGGCCAGCAGCATCGGGGGGGCGAGGCCCGTGTCGGAGGCTTCGGCGGGTGGCGCTGCCAGCGGTCGATCGAGCCCGACCATTAGTACGGGCGGGCTAAACGACGACTTATCGCCCGCGGGGAGCGGGCCATCGAGGAAGGTTCCACCGCTTGGCGAATTGGTGAAGCACATGGGGTCGCTGAGCATTTCCGACGCTTGCGCAAAGTGCCGGGGCCACCACGGAGGAGGCGGACTACTTCCTCAACACGGGCTTCACGGCCGACGAAGTTCAGCCGGAAAGGGCCGTGGCCATGATGACGGTACTACTCGACAAAAGGCTTAGTTTCCAGCGCGACGGAGACAGCGTCCAGGACTACATGGACGATCTTGGTGAAGAGAATATGCAGCTGCCCGGGTTTGATAGGTTTGACGAGTCGGTCATGTTTATACTGCTCGAGCTCTACGGCGTGGAAATGATGGACTTCCGCAGCCTGCCGGAATCGAATTGGTTTCACAGCGGATGGCCCATAGAACGTGTTATGCCGGACAAGGTGCTTCAGGTTACGAAGCGCGTGGCGAGGTTGTTGGTGCTTGGCGCCGGCGTCACGAACTCCGGGCTGTCCGCCGCCGGTCAGGCATCCATCCCCGGTTCTGCAACAGTGGGGGGTGCGCGCGTCATGTCAGGCATGGACCCTTCAGGGGTGGCGAGTGGGTCTTCGGGAAACCGTGGAAGGAAGCCCTGTGCCAAGACCAAAAAGCTCGCCGAGGATGGGCTAGATAGGTAAGGCTGTTCGTCGACTCTGCCCATGTCTTGGTTCTGGCAACTCCTTCGTGTGGTAGACGCTGTGCATTATTGTTAGATTATTTTGGTGGACGTAACCTGTACCAGAGAAGTGTCATCGCAGCATTATTGTTGGCTACTCCATCAGGGAGGGGCCAGAGCTTACCCTACCCTGGTGCCTCTCTTGCGCCGTTGTGCCACGTGTCCCAGCTTCACGGAGCAACAGGTGGCTGACGCTCGGGCACTCGCCGATCAGAAACGTGAAGAGGACGAGAGGAGGCGGGCGGCGGAAGCTAAACGAGAAGTAGGGAGGAGGCAAGAGCTCCTGGACATGATGGCCCACGAGAGGGCAATGCGGGAAGATGAAAGTAAACACGACAGACAAGAGCGTGAAGTGGAGAGGGCGGCTGCACGGGCAGAGCAAAAGGCAGATCGTGATCACCAAATCAGGATGACGCAACTCCAGGTAGACCTGGCGAAGGCGAAGGGCAACCATAACTAGCTAGCTGGTTGGGGTTGCTGTTGCTGCAGTTGCTAGGGCATGCGTTGCATGTGTTGTTTTTTTCAAAAGCAGGCTCTTCAAAAAAATATCGTGGCATCCGTTGCGCCTTGCGCGTTTTTTTCGGGGGGGCTTGCCTGTTCGGGGTAGGGAAAAATGGGAATGGGTTTTCGCCCTTGCTGCTGCTGCAGTTGCTAGGGCATGTGTTCCATGTCTTTTTGTTTTTTTCAACAGCAGGCTCTTCAAAAAAAAATCGTGGCGTTCGTTGCGCCTTGCGCGTGTTTTTCTGGGGGGCTTGCCTGTTCGGGGTAGGGAAAAATGGGAATAGGTTTTCGCCCTTGCTGCTGCTGCAGTTGCTAGGGCATGTGTTCCATGTCTTTTTGTTTTTTTCAACAGCAGGCTCTTCAAAAAAATATCGTGGCATCCGTTGCGCCTTGCGCATTTTTTTCGGGGGAGGCTTGCCTGTTCGGGGGAGGGAAAATGGGAATGGGTTTTCGCCCTTGCTGCTGCTGCAGTTGCTAGGGCATGCGTTGCATGTTTTTTTTTTTTTCAACAGCAGGCTCTTCAAAAAAAAATCGTGGCATCCGTTGCGCCTTGCGCGTTTTTTTCGGGGGAGGCTTGCCTGTTCTGGGGAGTGTTTTATCAGGAGGAACAATTGAAAAATGAAACTGGCATTCAACAAGTGGCGTCTGTCTTTTGCGCAGTGCTTCCCCCGCACGATACATTCCGTACTTCCCCTATGCATCCGCTCGCGTTTGCCCACATAATAAATGACCAGTAAGGAGGAGACGACTTCTTCGCACCAAACAATTTAACTCCCAGGAAGTTAACCTTTGAAACCCTCCAAACTAAGTGTCCCCAATAACCGCGGCATCCGATTGTTACACAATGCTTATATACCCGTACGATATACATACACCGTCCGTGCTTGCCCTCTGCATCGCCCGCGTTTGCCCACGTAAACGACCAAGGAGAAAAAATAATCTTGGCGCTGATCATTCGAAACTCACATAAAATTGGAAAGTCTACCGTGCGCTACTTGCTCACGCCAGCAAACGGCTGTTTGTGTTGGTTTACGCCTTGGAACACTCAAGATGCCTAGAATTCGCGCACAACGTGGGTTCATCTTGCACTTACANGCACAACGTGGGTGCATCTTGCACTTTTACCGCTACGTACTCCTCGAAAGTGGGTGGCACCACGCCAAAGTATTGCGAAATCTCGTTGCCCCCGTTCATGCATGAGTGCCAGTTAGAAAGCAGAGTGGCTACCCGGTACTGCTTGGCGACAGGGCTTAGCAAGAATTTCTGCTGCGGCTTCATGCTCACAAAGGCCCACTTGCCGGTCATCTCTTTGAATCCCCACTCCACCGTTACGCGGCAGTGGCTCATACGCTTGTTGAAGTCGGCCATCTCTGGCGTTAGAGGGCCGACACTTGACGCGCTAAAAGGACAGACAAGGTGGTTGCTCAGCCCATACGCCGGATCTCCGTACAAACAGTACGGATGGCCTGTAGGGCTGTTTAGCATCGACAACTTCTCCATCAACCCAGACTGCGCTAGAATAAAGCTGTCATGGCGTGTCCCCGCCACGGGGCCCCACAGATCCACAAATAGCCCGTCTGGTGTAATTACCCCTTGGAACTTCATTGCGTGCTTCCTCTTGTGCCCATTGTAGAACAGTCGCTGCCAGTACTTGGGCCTGCGAATCAGTTTTGGGCGTACGGAAGGATGGGCCACCAACAACACAGGTCAAGACATACACCCAACAGTGCTGCTGTATTTCATCGTTCTGCTACAACTTCATCGCACGTCGCAACCTCGTGGTATATCGCAATCAATCATGTGCACGCGCAACCACACGACAGTTCCACACAGATNCAGAACATTCGCTGCCAGTACTTGGGCCTGCGAATCAGGTTTGGGCGTACGGAAGGATGAACAACCAACAACACAGGTCAAGACATACACCCAACAGTGCTGCTGTATTTCATCGTTCTGCTACAACTTCATCGCACGTCGCAACCTCGTGGTATATCGCAATCAATCATGTGCACGCGCAACCACACGACAGTTCCACACAGATGAACATGTGGTCTAGTGAGTGCGTCGCAAAACTCGAGGAACGTACAAGATGGCCTGCTGATGCTGCGTTGGATACGCGGCGGGAAAAGCAATCCGCGGGGGGAATCACGCAGCTACTCTCTGCAGTATGTAGCAAAACGCCAGAAACCGTTGAGTCGGACTTCACCTTGCAATGCCACGCACGGTGCCATCGATAAAANACACGCACGGAGCCTCACGTCCGCTTACCACGAACCTGTTTGCGGCCTACGCCACTTATTTATCGGGTGAGACTGTTTTGGTGATGTA